GCATTCCTGGAGAAGTATGGGTACCTCAGTGAACCCATCCCCAGTAGTCCCGCCTCCACGCGATTCAGCAATGCCATCAGGTAAGACAGAGGGATGTGGAGGACTTGGTGGTGCTGGAGTGCAAAGCTCCGGTCACCTCCTCCCTCCTCCTAGAAGGCTGGTCTCTCACATGTGCCCAGGGGGTCACACTCCATTGCTCCCTCCCTTGCCCCCAGCATCCTGCTGTCTCCAGGGAAGCTCCCTGCATTCATCCCCACCAGCCAGCCTCGCACTGTGGTCCTTTATCTCAATTCCTCCTAACAGGGAGTTCCAGTGGGTGTCCCAGCTGCCCATGAGCGGGGTGCTGGATGCCGCCACGCTGCGCCAGATGACGCAGCCCCGCTGTGGGGTGGCAGATACCGACAGCCAGGTGGCCTGGACCAAGAAAGTCAGTGCCCTATTTACTGGACGTCGGGCCAAAATGAGGCGTAAGAAACGCTTTGCCAGGCAAGGTGAGCACTGTTAAAATCTAGCTGGGCTGGGATTCCCCAGCGTCCTGAAGCCCCATGGCCAGAAAAATACGTCTCATCCTCGGACTGGGCTCTGTGAATAACCTCGCTCCCCTAGGGTGGGTGAATAGGACCTCTCAACCCAAGGACCATCTTTGTGAACACAGATATTTAAGTCAGAATTATGCCTAAATTGATGAATTTTCTTTTTTTTTAATTTTTCTTTATTTTTTCATTTAAAAAAAATTATTTATTTATTTATTTTTTGGCTGCGTTGGGTCTTCGTTGCTGCACATGGGCTTTCTCTAGTTGTGGCAAGCGGGAGCTCTCTTTGTTGCGGTGCGCAGGCTTCTCATTGTGGTGGCTTCTCTTGTTGCGGAGCACGGGCTCTAGGCCTGCGGGCTTCAGTAGTTACAGCACGGGGGCTCAGTAGTTGTGTCTTGTGGGCTCTAGAGCGTAGGCTCAGTAGTTGTGGTGCACGGGCTTAGTTGTGCCATGGCATGTGGGATCTTCCCGGACCAGGGCTCGAACCCGTGTCCCCTGCATTGGCAGGCGGACTCCTAACCACTGCACCACCAGGGAAGTCCCTAAATTGATAAATTTTCATTGTGCAAGTATTTTCCAGAGCAAACCCCATCAAGCCCACTTAATGCCTTGATCAATTTGCTATGTAGGGCAGTTAAACCATTGCCAGCATTTTCCTTTATATTTGACTGAAGTCATTTTCATCAGAATCGATTGTTTTTTCAAAAGAATTATTCAACAAAGATGTGATTCATCGATCAGTTTTATTTTGACCACAGCACATTTTTTAACAGCATTATGGAAATACAATTCACATACCATAAAATTTACTCAAAGTGTACAACTCAGTGATTTTTAGTATATTCACAGCATTGTGCAGCCATCACCACAATCTAATTCCAGAACGTTTTCATCACCTCAAGAAGAAACCCCATGCCCCAAACGAAACAGCCACTCCCACTCTCCCTCTTCCCAGCCCCAGGCAACCACTAATCAATCTCCTCTCTGACTCTGCAGATTTGCTTATTCTAGACATTTTCACACTACAGTTTCTGCCATTGTGATTTTCCTTGTGTAGTTTTGGGTTTTTCCTTCCTTTCCCCTCCTCCACTTCCTCCTTCTTTGTCCAAATCCAATCTTCCAGGATCAGATGTTACAGATCCACGATCTATGAAGGAGATTTGATTCTTCTGTCAATTCTTCATCAATAACAAGTTTAACTGTGTGTAATTTTTTTTTAATTTATTTATTTTATTTTTATTTATTTTTGGCTGCATTGGGTCTTTGTTGCTGCACGCGGGCTTTCTCTAGTTGCGGCCAGCGGGGGCTACTCTTGGTTGCGGTGCACGGGCTTCTCATTACAGTGGCTTCTCTTGCTGCGGAGCATGGGCTCTAGGCATGCGGGCTTCAGTAGTTGCAGCACGTGGGCTCAGTAGTTGTGGCTCGCGGGCTCTAGAGCGCAGGTTCAGTAGTTGTGGCCCATGGGCTTAGTTGCTCCACGGCCTGTGGGATCTTCCCGGACCAGGGATCGAACCTGTGTCCCCTGCATTGGCAGGTAGATTCTTAACCACTGCACCACCAGGGAAGCCCTAACTGTGTGTAATTTTAACATCTTGTTTGTACTAAGTCTAGTTTTCTCTGCTCAGTTTTCACAGTTTTCAAGATTCCTAACAAGATGGGGTTGCTCAGTCAGGTTCTCATCTCGTTCATTTTACTGTGAGCGCTTAGGGCCATTGCCTCTTTTAATTTGCATTAACTACTCTGGCTGACAATACTCATTATGAGTGGAACAAGTGGCACACTGTTTTTATTTCTTAGCTAATTCGTAAGGAAATTGTGACCTGTTCCCCTCAGCTGTTGGAGGATGTCTGTTTCCAGGTACTTGCCAATCCAGTTCCACTGTGTCTACACATCCAGCCACTCTGGGTTCCCAGTACTGCATGACCGCATTCTGGTAAAACAAGGAGGAGCAATGGGGTCCAGACTCTGGGCTCAAGATGTCCTTGGTGTCAACATGTTCTGCATCCCCCAGTGTTTCTGGACGGCAGAGGGGAAGGACAAGGTAGAATGGAGGAGCAGTGTGAGCTGGAGCAGCATCCCTGGATCCAGAGCTCTGAGTTTAGCTGTGTGACCTGGGCCATGTCACTTTGCTCTGTTTCCTCTTCGGAAACAGCTTGTTCAGGTTGCAAAGGAGAGGCGCTGATTACTAAGGGGAAGGGCTTGTTGTGAGAATATGGTGGAAAATGGGGCAGCCCCGGATAGTCTCAATAGCGACACTTCCAGCCTAGAGTCGGTGTCCCAGAGAATTGAGACGATGCTTCCTGGGCACTCAGGACATGACCTGAGCATGAGGGATGCTTCCTCCAGGCAGCATCTCTTCTTCTCATGCCCTAAGGGAGGAACTGATGGAGTCCGTTTGTCACTATCCAATTTGGAGCATCCCTTTTGGACAGAAATTCATGCTAAGGCACCTCCCTCTCCATCTCATTATCTGACACTGACCCCTGGTCCAGACAGCAGTGGCCAGACTAGACAGAGAATTTCTCTCTTATTCACAACATGAACCACAGCAGCTTGAATTCTTTACCTCCTGGGGGGGAAGACATTCCCTAGAAAAGAGCTGTGAGCTTGGCAGGCACCAAGCACTTCCTATGCCTTAGGAAAGAAAATGTAATAATAACAGTTAATACACACTGAGCCTTTATGATCATGCCAAGCATGGTTCTGAATGGATTAACTCATTTAATCCAATAACAATGCAATGAGATGGGTACCATTATTATTCTCATTTACAGATGGGGAAAATGAGGGACAAAGAGCTTGAGCAACTTTCCCAGGGCCACGTAGCCAGAGTGTGGCCAAGCCTTCTTTTCACTGGGAGGGCTGAGTGATTGCTGGATGTGAAAAAACCCAGAACATGGGTAGGGGCTTAAAACGTGATGTGGATTTCTAGGCCAGTGACTTTCCATTATGTGGGTAAATGCTATACCGATGAAATTGGGTTCCAGGTTTGCCAGATAAAATACAGGATGCCCAGTTAAATTTGAATTTCAGATGAACAACTTAACTGTTTTGTTTTCAAATACTTATACTACAAAAAGTATTTGTTGTTTATCTGAAACTCACATTGAACTAGGCGTTCTACATTTCCATTTGCTAAAGCTGGCAACCTCATTCCAAGCACCAGCTCTGGACTCTGTGCCTGCAGGGCTGATCTTCACTGTCCCTGCTCCCTCACACAGCTGGTGGAGGTGGGGAGCCCCAGGGCGGGGAGGGGGTGTGTATCTGGATGGAAAATGAAGGAGCAGGGATATTTATTGAGCACCCACCCCATGCCAGGCAGCCTTGTGCTGCCTTTTCATTTGCTATTTCACTTTTACCAGGAGGTGAGTCTTACCAACCCCACTTTGCAAGTAAGGAAACTGAGGCTTGGAGAGAGTCTATAATTTGATACGCGAGGTTGTAAGCAAAGGGGCTGGGATTTCAACCCACGTTCTCTCCACAGTATCAGTTGCCTGTTGGGAGTCAGGATTCCAGGGTCCCCCCCCAGACAAGGAGTCTAGCTCTCTGCCCTTCCCCATCTCCTTTTCCTTCCCTCTTCCCTTTTGAATTTTGGAGCAAGGGTGTGGTGGGTGCAGTGCCAGGTGCTGCTGTGGCCTGGGGGTTGCCATGGAAACCAGCCCTGCCTGGTCGGGAGTTTGGGATGGGGGCCTGAAGTGGCCAGCCTGCTCCAAGGACACAGACCTACAAGAAGACAGGGACGAGGGCTCAGGCTGCTGGCCAGGCGGTTCCTTTCTCACCAGCAGCCCCACCAAGGACCCCCCCATCCAGCTCTACTCTCAAAGAAAATTAGTCTCTCAATACCAGTCCTATCTGTCCTCCCTAGCCTCCCCACTTCTTGCCCACGGAGTGAGGGGCCTCCCTAGCTGCAAAGAGGCAGAAGGAGCTGCCTCACACTTTTCTAGAAGCTTGAAGGTTTTGGGGGGGGGGAGAGTCTGAGAGTTGGTCACCCATAGCAGGGTGTGAAAGAGCCCAGCGCCAGCCTGCCCTGTGCCTGGTGAAACTTACGATTCAATGAGAAGTGTTATTGGTACCTCGGGAACCCTCAGGCGGCGCCTCTGGCCTTCCTCCAGGCTTTCCTCCTCTGCCTTCCTTAGAATCCTTCCCTCTTCCCTCCCTGAGGGTTGGTCACTGGCTGGGAGGGGTTGGGTGGCTGCCAGGCCCAAAGGGGTGAGAGAAGGGACACCCCCAACCCCACTTCCATGGAGGATGGAGGGGGAGGGAAAGTGTGCTCAGCTCTTCTGCCAGCTGGAGAATTCAGGAGAATTTCAGCTTGCGCAGAGCCCCTGCTTTGACGCAGAGGAGGGATGTTTAGGCAAATTTATAAGCCTTGAGTCTTAGCAAATGGGCCTGCTTATCTGTGTGGTACAGTGGCCGGCGCACTGGATTTGGTGTCAGGGCCTGGGCTCAGGGCCTAGCCCCGCCACTCACTCGTTCTGAGGCCCTTCCTCCTGGCCTCAATTTCAGCAAACTAGAGCAGAGAGATGGATAAGGCGATGGCCAAACGTCCATGACGTCACTCCTCCTGCCTGGTTCAGGCAAGGGTACCCCCAGGACAAAAAGGCAGGAGATCTGAACCTTCACCTGCCCCCCAAGGGGAGAGGGGGCCCTGTCCTCTGGCCTGGCCTCCTAGCACAGCCGGGCCTGCCCTGCCCACTCATCACCCATGCTCCAGCGACTCTGGTCCATTTGGGAAACTGAGACCCAAAGGCAGCATGATTCTTGGCTGCTCACGGGAGTCCTGCCTCCAGAGCTGTGAGTCTTCCACAGTTTCAGCCCCTGAGCTTGCAGGGCTCAGAAATAGCCCACGAAAAACTCTGGGATCTGGACCTTCTGAGCACCCTGGTCCTGGGTGCAAGGCGAGCTGCAGAGGGACATGGTTGACCTGGGGCTTGGGCAAGAGGCCAGAGCCTCAGGCCTCAGGGAGGAACTGCAGTTTGAGGCAAAGGAATAGGAACTCTTAACCAAGTGGAGATGGAAAAATCTCTCTCGATCAGTGAAAAACACACCCTTTGTTCTCATTTGTTTTCACCTCAGAGGTCTGCAGAGTCCCTGAGGAAGTGAGGGGGAGGGCCCGGGGTCAGAGAAGGACCTCGAATAAATGGGCCTTGTGGTCTCTGGTCAGCAGCAGGCCCAGGGCACGGGAAAGGGAGCCGGCAGGAGGGTGTGAGGGGTGGAGAGGAGGAAGGGGGAGAGGGCAGTCATGGCTGTGGCCCCCGTGGCTCCACACCGACACAGTAGACAGGGGCTGGGATTCGCTGCCAGCAAGAGACGCAGCACGGTTTTCAAGCTCAGCCCAGATTGTAGGGAAGATGGCCCCAGACCCGAGACTCCTTCAGGTTGGGGACTCTTCCTGGGTAGAGGCTACTCATCCCTTGTCATACTGGGACCTCCCCAGGTCGAGCCACTGGAGCAGGGACCGTGCAGGACAAGCGTAGTCTTGTCAGTCTGAGAGCAGTGTCTCCACAGCCAAACAGGGGGCTTCCCATTTGGGCTGTGTTTCCTCCATCACATCAGGGACTTCCTGGAGGAGGACCTATCTCCCCATCAAAAGGGTCTGCAGGGAGCAGCCCCAGGCTCTGCAGCAGGTGTGACTGATGTGGCCTCTCTGGGTGGCAGGCAACAAATGGTACAAGCGGCATCTCTCCTACCGCCTGGTGAACTGGCCCCAGCACTTGCCTGAGCCGGCAGTTCGGGGGGCCGTGCGCGCCGCCTTCCAGCTGTGGAGCAACGTCTCGGCGCTGGAGTTCTGGGAGGCCCCGGCCACAGGCCCCGCAGACATCCGCCTCACCTTCTTCCAAGGGGACCACAACGACGGGCTGAGCAACGCCTTCGATGGCCCAGGTGCTGACACAGAGCCTCTCTCCCACACGGCAGGAGGGAAACCCAACTAGGAGAGGCAGTGTGGGGAGGGCAGTAGAGCCTTCACTCCCTCTTTGGCCTTGGCCAAGCTGCAGCCCCCTCTGAAGAACCTTCAGTCTTCCCATCTGTAGAATGGGAACAGTGGTCCCTGCCCTATTAGGTGCCTCATGGCTGAAGGGACGGTCACATGAGGTTCTCCATGGAAAGTGCTTTGCAAACTCTAAAGAGTATTATCTCTTTCGGGAGAACCTTCTGGGGTCTTGTCACCCATCCCCTGCCTCTAGTCAGGCCTGTGCCTCTCTTGTTCTCCAGGAGTGAATGTTTTCCAGACCAAGGCTCTAAAAACATCCAGAGGCCACCACAACCCCACTCCCGCCCTCCCACCACCCACTGCACAGTCGCTGCCACAGGCAAGAGGCATTCTACCCTCTCCCTGCCACCTGCTTCACACACCCACAGCCCAGACTGTTCTCCTGTTTGCCCCCGACCTAGGCTTACGGCTGCAGTGTAAACCGCTCTCGTCCCCTTCTGCCCAACAGTAGCCTTCACAACCTGAATGTAGGCCATCTGTGCATCTCCTCCCCACTAGTGAGGCGAGGAGACCTGATCAGACCCTTTCAGGGTGGGGACTTAAGCCCTTGTGACGCCTGGGTACCTCCCCTGCACTCTCCTGCTTTCCTTCAAGCCCACTCAGAGCAAAGCCCACTTCCAAGCCCTGCTGCTGAGACCCAGCGTAGGACTGGGAGAGATTTAGGCTCTTCAAGAATCCACATGTAGTACACACACGTGCTTGCATGTAACTCACTTCACCCACGATATCTCCATGAGACATTGATATCCATACCCACGTCCCCAGGTGGAGTCTGGTCACTAAGACGGCACTGGACTGGGAGTCAGCTCTCTGATTTGAGAGAGATGTTTTGTCTGAGTTTATGTCTTCTACCTTCGAAACCTGCCCATCTGTCTCCCAGGATTATTGTGAGGGTTAAACAGAAAGGGCTTACATGGCTCGAAACAGCTTGGGGCATATTCAAAATTAGAAGCGTGTGTTCCTCCTACAAATGGCCAGCTCTCCATGCCCCAGGAGGCTCCCTTTAAAGGCAGCCTCCCAACTTTTGTCAGTCCCCTCTGGCCTGGGCTTCAAGAAGGCAACACCAGAAGGACCTTCAGTGGGCTTCTAGGCCAGCATCATTGAAGTGCTGTTTGCCGACTCCTGCGGAAAGTGAATTGTGAGGGAGTAGGACCCTAGAAACTGCAGAATTGCATCTGGGGCCCACTACCAGCTTGAGAATCACTGATCCAGCCCATCTCCCTCTGCTCACTCCTATTACAAGCAGGGAAGCAGGGAAGTAGAGACCCACACAGGACCCTGGCAGAGGGAAGGCAAGAGTGAAAGAACACAAGAATATATAGACTTTTTTTTTTTTTTTTTGCCTCACTGCGTGGCATGCGGGATCTTAGTTTCCTGACCAGGAATCCAACCCGTGCCCCCCTGCAGTAGAAGTGCAGAGTCCTAACCACAGGACCGCCAGGGAAGTCCCCTACATACGCTTCTCTCTCTCTCTCTCTCTTTTTTTTTTTTATAAATTTATTTATTTTTGACTGTGTTGGGTCTTCGTTGCTGCACGCAGGCTTTCTCTAGTTGCGGCGAGTGGGGGCTACTCTTCGTTGCCGTGCGCGGGCTTCTTATTGCAGTGGCTTCTCGTTGCAGAGCACGGGTTCTAGGCACGCAGGCTTCAGTAGTTGTGGTGTGTGGGCTCAGTAGCTGTGGCTCACTGGCTCTAGAGCTCAGGCTCAGTAGTTGTGGCACACGGGCTTAGTTGCTCCGCGGCATGTGGGATCTTCCTGGACCAGGGCTCGAACCCGTGTCCCCTGCATTGGCAGGCGGATTCTTAACCACTGTGCCACCAGGGAAGTCCCCCCTATATGAACTTATTAATAAATAAGCTATACCTACCCATAAATACACTCAGCACCCAGATCAAGAAACAACATTACCAACACCCCAGAAGTCTCATTAAGCCCCCTTTGGGGGTAACCACTGTCCCTACTCCTAGATCTCTTCGAAAGTAAGTAACGGTTATTACCTGCGGTAGACACTAAGTATTACATGTAACATACACAAGTACACACATCGCTTTTTAATACTCAGAACAACCCCGTGAGGAGCAACTCCCTTATCAACATGCCCATTTTTCAGATCTAAAATCTAAAAGCTAAGACACAGAGAGGTTAAGCTCTCTGTCCAAGGTCACACAGCTAGTAAGGGGATAATACCGGGATTGGAAGCTAGGCAGTTTGGCCCCGTGCTCTTTGTACACCACGCTCCCTTCTTAGGGAGCAGGCCCCATAGCCTAGTCATCTGTTCATTGCCCCACACTTCAGCTTCTGCCAGACTTAATTAGGAGGGAAATTACTCATCAAAAACGCAGCCATACACACGCCAATGGCATTTGCGCCGGCGGTGGGAAGTTGGGGGGTGTCGCGGGCGGCGGCTCCGCCTGACCTCCTCGCCGCCTGTAGGCGGCGCCCTGGCGCACGCCTTCCTCCCCCGCCGCGGCGAAGCGCACTTCGACCGCGACGAGCGCTGGTCCCTGAGCCGCCGCCGTGGGCGCAACCTGTTCGTGGTGCTGGCGCATGAGATCGGCCACACGCTCGGCCTGACCCACTCGGCCGCGCCGCGCGCGCTCATGGCGCCCTACTACAAGAGGCTGGGCCGCGACGCGCTGCTCAGCTGGGACGACGTGCTGGCCGTGCAGAGCCTGTATGGTGAGCCCCCGGCGCGCTCGCCACTGCGCTCTCCCCTGTCCCCTGCGCCCCGGGATCCCCAGGGCTCGGACACCGGCTCTTCAAATAGGATCCCCCATCCTAAGCGCAGGAAGCTGGCCTCCCCATCACAGGTCCTTCCCGATGCTGAAGCTTCGGGCTCCCCTCAAATCTTGAGAAACCTCATCTCCTGCTGTGCTTTACCCGCATGCCTGGCCTCTATCATCCCAACCAATTCCTGGGCACAGCCCTCCTCTGCGTTCCAGTTGCTGATTCCTGCCCAACCAGGGCCGCGCAATTCCTCTCATATCCCTGCCCCATCATCCAGACCCAGTCCTCGGTCCCGCCCAGACCCCAGAGCCCCCATTCCAGCTCCCAGCTCCAGTGGCTCTCCCCTAACATTTCCCTCTCCGTGAGCTGATGCCCACTTTTCCCCCAAGCCTGAGCCTCCGCCTGGCGGTGGACCTAGACAAGGTCTTCTCCTGCAGAATGAACTGCCTGGTGCTTCCCAGAGATTTATGTGGACCCCAGCCCGGGGCTGTGACCCTGAGTACCTGGTGTGGTGGGCAGGGCCAGGATCCCTAGGATCAAGTACCATTTCATCGGGGTTAGCAGTTGCTCTGGGGCAAAGCACTTCTCCTTTTAGAGTCCTCGGTTTTATCTTCTGGGGGAAAAAAGGTTGGGCGGGGGGATAATAATTGAGGCCCTGCTTACCTCCCAGCGCTGTTGTTCTGGTGGATATGAACATGCTTTGTAGCCTAAGAGACCTACACAAAGGTAATAATAATAGCTGCTATTTCACGAGTGTCTACCATGGGCCAGACACTTAACACACCCATGAGGTATCTTTTTATCCACAAATGAGGAGAATGGGGCTCAGAGACGTTAGATAACTTGTCCAAGGTCACCCAGCTAGGAAGGTGCAGACCAGGATTCAGGAGCTGGTGCCGAATTCTAAGCTTATTGGACTCTGCCTCATTCTCATAAGTGAAATATAGTGATGTCATTATTATAACTGCTGTAATTATCACAGCCCAGGCCCCTGAACTCTGCCCTCATGCCATCTGCATTGTCCAGGACTCAGGGAAGAGGAGGACCCTCTGCCCTTTTTAGTTCCAAACCCTTGTTTGGTTCCCCCACTCCGATTTTACCCTTTTCCAGACTGTTCAGCAG